TTCCAACTATTGTTCTTCAAATCTTTATTCTTCTTTATATTATTATATTTCTTCTGTCCCGTTTTTTGAAACTCTTCCTCTTCTTCATTTTTTAAGCTACAGAAACCGTTCAACTATCAAAATGTTCAGCTCTTTAAGGACATGTGTGCTATATCTCTTCATATTTCTATCTCTTATGCTTTTTGAATTATTAAGCTTTTTGCAACATTTTTTTGAATGGGATGTCTATGGAGAATATTTTCAAATCCTCTTAAACGTTTTCAACTTTGAAATCCTTCTACTTCCTCATACTTTCAGCTACAGACACCATTTCAACTTTAAAATGTTGAAAAAACCCGAGCTATTGCCGCATAATTCAGCTTTTTGATATCGTTTAAACTTTTTGAACTGCAGCAATTTAACTTTTATGATTTTTTCACTCCTTTTCTGACTTTATAATGGGTGTGTATTGCGCAGCTTAGAGTGTGTGATGTCACCGCTAGAGTGAAGAGCAGCTTGAGATTCTTGTGAAAAAAACATTTGTGTTTTGCCACTGAGTCCACAATCTTCACTCTTCATGAATAATTTATAGATTTAAAAGTAGCTAATCTTGTCCTTGTCGTAGACAAATGACTGTGGAATCCCACAGATTTACACATTTGGCACAGAAGCCTGTAGTTGAGAGGAAAACCAACTTTCTGCTCCATAGAGACCAATGTTAAATTTTGCTTCAAAAACATCTTCCACAGAACACGGTACCCCATTTCTAGATCGCCAGTTCAGCCACATTTTTTACACTACAGACACAATTTTTACAGGATCTGTTCTTCAACTCATCCTTCCTCTCATTGATTAATATCGGAGCAATAGGAGCTACGGTTATGGGAGTTTTGAGGATTTGTTTGAGAGGCGTTTCCCTGTTTTATCTCCATGAAAAGGCTGCAAAGACACAGGTGTTTCTGATTAAGCTAATTAGTGATGTTGATAAACACAGACTCACAGACACACACGCACTCCTCTCTCTCTCTCTCTGTGTCTCTCTTATGCTACTATTACTACTGCTATTACTGATACCATCAATATTATTACTACCACTACTGCTATTACTACCACTACCACTACTACTATTACTTATACTACAACTGCTACTACTACTACTGCTATTCATGCTACTACCAGTACTAATACTACTACAGCTATTAGTATGACTGCTACTAGTACTACTACTGCTGCTACTTCAAATACTGCCATTACTATTACTACTACTTCTACTATATTAAATACTACAACCACTACTACAACTATTATTACTACTACTGATACTACTACTTCTACTACTTCTTCTAAATACTAATACTTCTACTACTAATGATACTTCTACTACAACTACAACGTCTAGTACTACTACTACAAATATCACTACTGCTGACATTTTTTAAGCCACAGAAACCATTCGAATATCAAAATGTTCAGCTCTTTCAGGAGAGGGGTGATATGACTTTTCATATTTGTAATCTTTAAATTCTTTGAAATATTAAGCTATTTGCAATTTTTTTGAATGGGATTTCTATGGAGAAAATCTTCAAATCCTGTTTCTTCTGTTACTTCTTCAACTTTCAAAGCCTTCTTCCTCATACTTTCAGCTACAGACACCATAGTTAGACATTTCAACTAGAAGGGTTTTCAGCAGTGCAGTTTAAATGCTTTCGGGCTTCAACATTTTTCAGACGGGTAGTCTCCCATTTCTTAATTTTCAGCAATTTTTTTACAATTAATTTCAGCTTTCAGCATTCCAACGCATTTTCAGCAGGAAATGCATTTTCTAGTTTATTCTGTCATCTGATAAAAATCACTTTGCAGAGAAACCTTGCACACTGAATCCAATGCGTTCTGTTATTCTATTCAATAATAAGATAAAGCTGGATGAGCAAAATAGAGAGCACTAATCCTAAATGGGGCTAATGAATGAATGGCATTAATAAATCAATTCTGTCCACACCACTTTCGTTTTATAAGATATTTTCCATCCACACTAGAATGCCAAAACAACTCAGTTGGTGGCGATAAAGTTTACGTGATCAATACCTCAAATACCAGATAAGACGATTCTGAGCATGCTCAGTGAGCTCATTCTTCTTTGGTGGTGTTAACAGATAGTAAACAATAGTAAAGCAATGTTATTGTTATTATCATTTCTACATATTTGATATTTGGTGCCATGATGAAAACTCAATTTGACTCATGGGTAGATTGACAATGAGGTGGAGTTGCTGCTTAGCATCACTCTACAATACAAGGGGATGACTGCACAAGAAGATGTTGATTGGAAGTCTTGTAATAAGAAATATTCAGAAATGTCGTTGGCCTTTAAGGATCAGTATCCTGCCAAGACACTCTGAGAAGGTAGGGAACGAGTTTCCTCATGCAAAAGACACGATAAACACGGCGATAGTATCGACTAAGCTCAAGACCGTCCAGTCAAAGTACCGTGGAGCAGAGGACACGGGACTCCGCAGAGGACACGGCAGAGTGGTGTTGGAACGACGGGGGTGTACCTCAGGTCCATTTCACTGATCTTCACAAGTTGTTGTTATGTGCTGTTATGTTTAGAGTTACATTTTACAAGTTTAGTTTTACATTTCCACACAGATAAAAAGTAACGTTTAAAAGATCTACACCGTAAAGGTGTAGATATGCAAACAGAGAGTAGAAACTCTGTTTGCGTGGATGAAAGGCCAACACGTAGAGGAAAATATCATATTAAACGAAACATTAGTAGAAAGGACCTATGTGTATCTCACTGTTCCTCAACCTGTCAATAGTTATGGGGCCAGTATGTAATAAGGGGCACAGAGCATCATTTTGGTCGTGGCATCGAAATTCTAAGAATTATATAATTTTGTGCTTTTCTTCTTAGAATTAAGAATACATGTGAGACATAAATGTGTTTTAGGTGAATTTTCTAAATCCAAGTGTTTCCAGCTGTCAAAAAAATTGCATAAAGGAGACACAGAAGGAGCTGTGGCAAGTCTGATAAATGTCCTCAAGGGTCCTCGTCCTTGGTTGGGGGCTCCAAGCTAAAGCAGCTGCTACTTGCATAACACTCTAGATGAACGGTCGGCGGTGTGGTTGCAATGTGGGTAATGTAGGCGCCAGGTTCTGACAAGGAAGAAAAATGTGTCTTTTATCTCTGGTTCTGCTCTATCAATTTTCATCTTTTTTTAACTGTCCATCATAAGTTTAACAACGTTGTTGGAGTGCAAAACTAAATCTATAAGTATTTTTGAGACTCAGTGTCATCGCACAAAGGATTCCAGAGAGCTCAGTTAGGAGCATTCATACTTACATACTCTGATAGTTATGAGGCAGCACCGACACAGTTTATATTTTGGAAAAGAATAATAAGTTGATAAAAAAGATCTGACATAATACACACACTCTTGCATGATGAATTTAATGACATGATGATGTATTTGACATGAATACAATCAAATGTTTAGTGTGATTCTTCGTTCTTTATGTTATGAAATCCGAACACTCATGTTTTGGTCGAGGTATGTTTTAGCATCGAAATGCTATTTTCCCAAGACCTTCGAAAAACATTTTCCCACCTGACCTGACGTAGGTTTCTGCGTCCAATTCTGTGGCAGGCTCAGATGAGTTAAATTCACTGTACAACAAAACTGTACGTTTATCTCTGACCAGAGATGGGTCCTGCCCAGGATTACATACAGGGTCACAGGAAATAACAGGCTAAACACAACGTGTGGGCTGGGCTACGTTAAGGTGAAAGCTTCTCAGGAAGGAAAAGCGACACTGAAACTATCAGCACCCAAGATGTGTATTCTTTGTCAGGGCGTGAATTGTGTCTGAGAGACCTAACTCACAACTCTGTCAAAGTGGATTTACATAGCTTAATACAAGTCTGTTTCACAAAGCAAAAGGTGAGTTCATTAGTTAAAGGGACAGTTCACTGTTTCCCTCTTACCTGTAGTGCTATTTATCAAAACTTAGCAGCAATGCAGTTGGATGGAAGTACTCACAACAAGGCCTGTGGATCATCTTGAGTAACCAGGTCATGATTTCTGGAGAGAAACGTGGCTGTCGAGTTTTTCAAGTGTATTTTTTTTCCGCCTCACAGGTTTTCCGTGGATCGTGGTTATGACTTAGCTGTGCCTGCCTGACCCCCATTGCTACTACACTATCCCGATGCTCGAGTCCAGATACTAGGTTAGGATCAATTAACCAAATAACCTATGCTGCTCTTAAAATAACTGGCTCCGGATAGAGCCATCAGTTTTTTCACTTTTCACCGCTGCTCTCGTACACTTGGCACACGGGAGTCGTTTCAACTGGTTGCACTTTGCAACCTCACCGCTAGATGGCGCTAAATCCTACACACTGTTTCTTTAAGCACAGTTTTGAGGTTCTTTAACTTTACTCGACTATTTCCATTTTATGCTATTTAACACTTCTTCTGAAGGCAAATGTACTTTTTACTCCACTACATTTGTTTGACAACTTTATTTGCTTTGCAGGTTTTGATAATGAATGCAACATATAAATCAACTAACCGAGCTCCACTTTTACGAGCTGCATTATCAATGCGATGAACACATCAATGATTTTAATCCAGTAATTTAATATATATTATTCTGGAATGAACTATTCTGCATGAGGATTTGTACTTTTGGTATTAACGTTGTAATGGTAACATTTTCCTACCTGAGACTTTGAATGCAAGACATTTACTTGTAGAGTATTGCTACACTGCAGTATTGCTAATTTTACTGAAGTAAAATATCTGGAATACTTTTTCCACCACTGACAACCGATATATAATGTTTAAACAGCGTGCGTAAAATAGTAATGTTGGCCTGTGAAGATGAACAGAGCTTACATGACATTCCACAACTGTTTATTCAAAGAGGGAGGGAGGGGCTGGGGTTGTGGTTTTGAAGAGAGGGGTGGGAAACAGAAGAGTTGAAGAGCGCGCCTCTCTTTTCCGAAACCCCAGTGCTCATCCTTCGCCTCCCTTTCTCCAAACCCGTGCGTAATGGTAGAGCGGAGGATGAACTCTTTAGTGAAATGGGCGCTCGGCGTCTTCGTACTCGTCTCCATCATCCTCAACATCGTCCTGATTGGCATCCACTCCAGCAGGGCGCCCAAATGCTCCGCTCAGCGTGTCCACCCGCTGAAGCGCAAACACGACGATCGCAGCCTCGCGTTCGCCGACCTAACCCGGGAGGAGTATCTGCAGGTCCAGGAGTATTTGCTAAGACAAAAAGACTTGGACATATCTACCAACCAGATCACCAAGCCGTCCGAAAATTTCTTGTTTTTAATAGAGCTATCCCTGCCCAAGAAAGCGGACGTGCTGGCTTACTTGGACGGGAAAGGCGCAAACCCGACCAGAGAGGCGACGGCGGTGGTCTTCCACGGCAAACTCGGCTACATTAAGGAGTACGTAGTGGGGCCTCTTCCCAACCCGATATACCACAGAGATGTCACCGAGGAGCGTTACAAGACGGAGCTCCCTATCACTGCGCGCACGGTCACCGTCGGGGAATATAGCTTGATGTTCAAATTTCTGGAGCAAATCTTCTCCAAGCTGGGGAAGCTGATGAAAGAGAGCTTCGACGTGGGTCTGGACAAGAATCTGAACGCCTTCGAGCAGATGCCCCGTGGGGTCCGATCCGGGGACAGAAAGACTTGGATATCTTTCTTCAGGGACATGGCCGGTATGTACATCCACCCAGTGGGCTTTGAGGTGCTGCTTAACCACGAGAGCGTAAACGCGTCCGACTGGACAGTGGAGCGGCTGCTTTACAACGGCCAATACTTCCTCACCGTGGAGGAACTTCAACAGAAATACGATGCGGGGTCTGTTAAGAAAATAGTTTACAAGGAGTCGCCTGACTATGGGTCACTGAAGCCCAGGAACAAGCCTCTGCAGATCGGCCCGCAGTTATTTTACGCAGAGGGGAAGCGCTACAGCATCAGTCATAACCACGTCCTGTACCTGGACTGGAGCTTCGCCTTCGGACTCAGCTCTCTCACGGGCATGAGGGTGTTCGATGTGCGCTTCAACGGCGAGAGGATCATCTACGAGCTGAGCGTGCAGGAGGCCATGTCCGTGTACGGTTCGGTGACTCCCGGGATGATCCTGACCAAGTTTCTGGACTCGAGTATCGGGATTGGGCGCTTCGCGCACGAACTGGTCCGCGGCGTGGATTGCCCCTACGAGGCCACCTACGTGGACACGTACCGCTACATCGACGTCCCGGCTCCGGTCAGGTTTAGGAACTCAATCTGCGTGTTTGAGCACAACATGGGTCAGCCCCTGCGGAGGCACTTCTCGGACTTCTTCCACAACAGCTACGGAGGGATGGTGAACAGCGCCCTGGTTTTCAGGACCATAACCGCTATTGGGAACTATGACTACATGTGGGATTTCATCTTCTACCAGAGTGGGTCAGTGGAGGCCAAGGTGCACGCCACCGGTTACATCTCCTCTTCCTACTTGGTGGACGGCAGCCGGAGACACGGCCACCAGGTGGCGGGGAACGTGCTGGGGAACATCCACACCCACTTTATCAACTTCAAGGTGGACCTAGATGTGCTGGGTGAGTTTCGGTGGCACTTTTCAACCTGTTCAACTCAAAACAACAAGAAGACAGGTTCAACTTTTTATGATGGCCATAAATAAAATGCATTATAAACATGCTTATAATGCGTCTGCTTATAGCACTGTATAATTATAATTATAAGCAATCCTACAAATTCATGATGCCTTATAACAATAATTATAACATATTATAAAGCCTTCTGACATATAACATAAGGTCAAGTATAATACTTTATCTGGTCACCCACTGACTGAATATTGTCAATTAGGTTGGTCTTTTAAAATGAAATGTTATTTTTGTCATTTTCAAATTGTCAGAGAATGCGCATAAAGTTATAAGTTTAAATGGAAATTGTAATATCAACTGTGACTTAAACGATGCACCTAAAAATGCTAAATATTTATATTGCACTTTAGTTTTGAAATTTAAATTCATATTTGAATATTGTTGAATGCAGAGTCTTTGAAAATGAAATGTCAAATGGCTTTTCCATTATATTGTCAGAGATTGCCCATGCTAGTAGTGAGAATGCAATTGCATTATTGAATTCTGACCCAATTAATGTATATAAGTAGGAAATGAGAATGCTGCTGTGAGATTACATTTTATTTTAATCTTCATGAACATCAATACATTTCAAAATACAACAGAAAACAAAAATCATTACAAACATATCCTCTGCAGGTGTGAATAATTATTTCCAGACGAAAGATATGGAATATGTCAATGTGTCGCTGCCGTGGATGTCCGACCGCTACGCTATGGTCCCTCAGCTGGTGGAGAAGCAACTCACAACAGAACAGGTCTGCCTTCTTTCCCTTCCTTCACAGTAGTTGCTTTTAGTTTTCATTTAGAGGAGAGTGTGCAACAAAGTGCGTGAGCTACATTCACAGACAGCATGACGCATTCTCTGCACAGCTGTTTTTGTTACAATTGATCACTGCAATTAATCTGAATTAAGTCTACAATGAAGGGGTTTATTCCCAAATACCTTCGTATTAAGCCACATTATTGTTAACGGATCATAAAGTATTCATCTCTGAATACTTGTGTTATTATCCAGGGGATTGATCCAGGGATCAATTATTATTATTATTATTATTCCCATAAACACTCTCATTAGTCTTGTTTCCAACAGCAGCAGCAGGAAGTTGTTCTCAGTGGAACTACCGACTGAGAACCAAACAGCAGACAGACAGTTAGAGAATAGCTAGTGAACCCAGGGGAGCATTGAGCTGCAAAGGAACCAGGTATTTGTTTTCAGGAGCTGGTTGAGACCAAAAACAGAGCAAAAAGAGAGAGAATATCAGACTCATCAGGTGGATGGATGTGTAAGTAGGCAAATGTTTGCTAACACACACACTATAACAACTTTATACAGTGATGTAAGTGCTGTGTTTGCAAGTTGTTTGGCTGTCAGTTCCTAAGCTTGATACCTAAATCAGCTGCTCAGCTGCACCACATTAAACAGCCCTAACCCACTGATACACACACCACACACAACGCTGCAGTGCCCACATAGCCCCGCCTCCTCTCACTAACAGTGCTGTCTTCTCGCATCTCATCTCCAGTTGAACCTGATCATTTGTGGGTTGTTATCGTGTTACAGCCTTCAGTGTTTCCCATTCATTACCAATACAGTCTAGTACAGTCATAATGAACTGAAACATTTTTTACACTTCAATCTCTTTGGTTCTCTCTGGGTCTCAGTGAGGAACCCTTCATGGAACCTCACGGGACGGTGCGCCAACACCCCCAGGATGAAGGCGGCTTTTGGCTTCAGCTATGAACTTTGTTGCCATGTCATCACCCTTCATACAGCCACTGTGTTTATGATTAAAGTGTTTATATCGCACACCGCTGGAGGGAGGTGAGGCACGGGAGAACCAGAACCAGGGGGCCAAAGGGCAGACTGGCAACCCAAATGTACTCATATGTACTGTTCATTGAAATTACAATTTCTTAGTCCACCAGTGTTGCAGCCAACCAAGTAACTCTTCAATCTTGACTGAGGGACTAATCTCTACTTTGACACCCCCACAGGAGGCCGCTCTGCGCTACGACACCAAGACTCCTCGCTACCTCCACATCACCAGCAACAAGACAAACCGCTGGGGTCACCAGCGCTCCTACAGGCTGCAGGTGTTCAGCTTCACCGGGGACCACCTCCCGGAGAGCCAGCCCGAGGAGAGGGCCATGTCCTGGGCCAGGTGAGACTGGACATCCGCAAACTCATATTGTTAAAAGTTAATGATTGTGGGCACTTCTTTTGCCTTGATGAGTAAAAGTTGTGTTAGACAAGATATCAAGATGGAGAAATAAAGATACATGCACTACCTGATAGTAAAGTGCATGTCCTGAATTTCATAGTGATTCATATTTGGACCACTTTCAGCTGCACTTTATACACTGGGCCACATATTAGACAAAACATCATTTAGAGTTAGCCAGATCTTTTCCAAACCTTAACAATGCTGCCATGCATAGATTATGAAGAAAGCGAGAATTGTAGAAATCTTAGCTTTAGACATAACAAATGTTCGCAGTGCACAATCATTCATTCTTGTGATAGGGTTGAAATCTCCTGTGAGATACAATGTAGCATCAGATCTTCAGGCATGGTTCTGCTGGCCACCCAAAGCCATCTCGCTCTGTGTCTCTTCTGTTTGTCTCCAGGTATAAGGTTGCCATCACCAAGCACAAAGACTCAGAGCAGACCAGCAGCAGCCTGTACAGTCAAAACAACATCTGGTCTCCAGCTGTGGACTTCAGCAAGTACATTGAAGACAATGAAAGCATCGAAGACGAGGTGTGTTGAGATAGGACCTGTATGTGAAGTTGATAAGATAATACAAACATATATTTAAATTTAAACTGAGATAACTTAGCTAAAGTAATTTGCATGATGTGTGTGATAATGTGCCTGCAGGACCTGGTTGCCTGGGTGACCACCGGCTTCCTCCACATCGCTCACTCCGAGGACATCCCCAACACGGTGACCGTGGGCAACGGGGGCGGGGTCCTGCTGCGGCCCCACAACTACTTTGACGAGGACCCATCCATCCACTCTGCTGATGGGGTGTACATTGCCCCGGGCAGTGAGGACAGCTGTGACAACAATAGGATGGCCTGCCTTGCTCAAGAGACCTGCAGCCCTGTCCTTGAACCCTTCACCTACCACGGCTTCGAAGGAGTCATGAAGTTTGAGGATTCGGTCTGATTTGTTGTGCACTGCTCGGTGTTAGCCCTAATCAACTCAGAGATATGCGTGGGTTTATTTACCGATCTATCAAGAAACTTGTGTCAATGTTAACGTGTTTAACATTTTGGGGCGGCACATTATTTGTGCTTTGTGTGCGATGGGCAAGAAATTGCGTGAAGGAATTTTTCAATGTTTTGGAAAATGTTTGTTCCTGAAAGTGCGTTGAGAAGGTCAATACCACTCTCATATTTGTGCGTTAAGTACAAAGCTGGAGTCAGGACTTGGTTAGCCTAGCTTAGCATAAAGCATTTAGCCTGGCTCTGTCTAAAATGAACTACCAACACCTTTAAAACGTGTTATCTAACACGCTGTATCTCGATAGTTTATTATGTACACAAACAGAATGTAAAAAACTCAATTTCTGGTTCTTGGGGGACTTTACATGCCGGAACAATTTCTTAATGAATAAACTGCCAGGCACAGCTTTCCAGAGTTTGTTTTCACTCTGAGCTTGCCAAGTTACCAAACAGACCATATCTGACAGCCCACACTAGATGAATAAGGTAAGATAAGACAATCCTTTTTTAGTCCCACAGCTGGAAAATTTAACTTGTTTTTCATGAAAACAACAGCGTGTAACTCCCATAAAACCACAAGCTGTAATTTTGTCATTTATGTTTATTTATCTGTTAAACAAACAAGCTACCCTATCTTAATCAGAGAGCTTTATCGGTGCTGGTGTATTCTTAACTCTGGATAGAGCCAAGCAGGCAAGCTCTTTCATTCTACTTCCAGCCTTTACTGTATGCTAAGCTAGGCTAACCACTTCCTGATTCCAGCTCTGTACGTAACAAAAAGAGAATTGGGATCAATCTTTTCTACTCATTGCTGTTAAGAAAGAAAATGAATTGTTTGCCCGTCAATATACCCTCAGTTTACCTGCGATTAGGTCAATATCGCTTTTCAACTAGGATCACTGAAGAATCGCCCTCATTCGTAAGGCTGCTATTACTTCATATTTGTCTCATTGTCAGCAAATTCCATTAGAAGTCTATCTCTTAATACGTTCTCCATATCCTCAACTTCAAGCCCATCGGTTCCTACTCTGAACATAACACTTTTGTTACATTTTTAAAAAGGGTCAGACATTTCCTAAAACAGCTGTTTGCTGTTGTGTCAAACAGGAGCAAGTGGTGCCTTTGTTGGGGACTATCTTTGGTGGTGCATTAATTCACATTTGTGCTCCAATGAGTATTTGTGGCAGCAACACAGTGTATGTGTGATTGAGTCAAAATAAACTACAGTGTGCGTGTTCATGCTAGTGAAGATAATGCTAAGTGTTTTTAATAAATGGAGCTCTGTGGGACAGAGGAAGAAGATATATCAGACTTTGTATGCAGACAACATGTTTTCAGGAGGATCACTTCACTGTTGGCATTGATCTGGGATTTGTTGGCAATAAGAAGAATATAAATGATCCCCTGACCTATCATTTAAACTAAACTATGCTGTAAAGTTGTAAGCTAATAATATGCAGCAACTGTTCAATATGTAGTAAATATAATTGGAGATATAATTCTGCAAACATAATAATGATTAGATTAATGAGCTCTAGGGATGGTAATATCAGTCAGTCGGCCAATGTGCCTCTTTGGTCCAGACTGAATATCTGAACATTTTAGACGGATTGATGCAACATTTTGTACGGGTAACTTTGATGATCCTCTGACTTTCCATCTTGCGCCATCATCAGATCAAAATTTTATTTTGTCAAATACTTGCGGCTGGCAATATTAGTCTGTCTGACGTTGCCACAAAGTTTTGGTTCAGAGATTCATGTCCCCAGGGGAAGAAACATTGTGCTGTGTGACTTTTGCTCGTTGGTTTATGACCTAATACCTGCATAACTGATGGCATATCTATTAGTTTCAGCTGCACCTTGTGTTAAGTGCTTATTAGCAAATGTTTGTATATAACTTGCTCAAGATGGCGAACATAGTTAACATTATACCTGCTTAGTATTAGCATGTTAGCATTGTCAATGTGTGCAAGTTTGCATACTGAACCACTGAGCTTCACGGAGCCACTAGCATGGCTGTAGACTCTTAGTTCTGCTGCCTTGTTTGGTGGTATCACCAAAGTTAACAATCCATACTGAGACAGAATAGAAGAGGTACATTTGGCATTAGAAAAAAACAAATAGGTAATCAGGAATACATGTTTTGCAGACACTAATCCACTCTTTATCAGTGATAATTGTTACATGGGATTAATTGTAATTTTATCTCAAAACCATAGGTGACATCAGGAGAAATGTGATCTATGGTTTAAGATTGTGCAAGCAAAGATGCTATAACCTCTAATAATTTCAGTGATGCTTGCAATCATTTTTGCTTTTATGCCAGCAATCACATTTTGACTCATTTTTAACATGGAGTCAGAATGTACCCAGATGGCACTGGGAGCAAAGCCATTCTTATTGTGTCTATCTGTGTCTCATACTACAAACCACTGTGATATATAAACTGTGACATAAACATTGTAAACTGACACTGTACAGCAGTGGCGGCTGGTGACTCCAAAAATTGGGGAGGACAGGAGGGAAGCCAACTATGGCATGTTATTTGACATTAGTTGGCCACTCACCTTCTTATGGTGCTTCCAAGGTTTCTTAAAAACAACAATCAAACACTTTCTTGGCTTCCCTGCAGGTGTTGCTGTTGAGCATTTTAATCAGAGTTTTGATTAAAAAAAAGAATTATAATGATTCTGAGATTTGGAAATGGTTTATTTCCACCAATTCCTCTAATTCCTCTGCGCTGGCAATAGCAGGGTTGTCCGCTGGTACGTATGTACGGACATCCGGTCTATTCTCAGCAATGCTTTGAGGGAATTTATTTAAATTTGGCACAAACATCTACTTCAAGGATGACCTGATCAAATGTTGCAGGTCCACATCACTGTGACCTTATGTCTGTCCCATTCTCAGGAACGCCTCAGAGAATTTCTTCAATAGGCACAAACCTTCACTTTGACTCAAAGATGAACTGATTATAATTTGGTGGTCAAACGTCAAGGTCACTGTGGCCACAACTCAAGATTGATATGCTAATTATGACAAATTCACACAAATGCTTGATATATAAAATATCACATTGGACAGGCACCGTTGATGTAAACTGCAACTCGACTGGTTAGCTGATCTCCATCTTGCCTCTCAGAAATAGAGAAACCTTTTGCCTCTGTGGACCAGACTCCTCTGCTGTACAGTCTGTGTGTGAAAGTGTGCACTGACAAATATGACCATCTAGTCCAAAGCAGGGTCACTCTCTGATGTGGCCTGAGGCTGTGACTACTGGACATCTGATATCGTATTCATTTTGAATATACTTTTTTTTACAGTGCAACATTCTGAGGAACGTTGTTCTTCTTGTTTCCTCTTAAAATAAACAAAGAGATTATTTGTCAAAGAAGGGGCTTGGAGGTTTTCTTCATTTGGTCTTTGCAAACATACACACACACACACACACACACACATGTTTTTTTTATTCTCACAAGATTTTGTGGAATTAAATCATTTTTAATAATTTTTACTTTTAAATGCTAGTGCTGTTCAGTGTTGCTTTGAGGACACTTAAGGCTACGTAAAGCATTGTACACTGACAAAATAGAAGTTCAAGACACACACACACACAGACGATGTAACACACACCCTCTCACCCACCCCGCTCCCCCTCTACATACTTGAATGGGATCCAGGAGGGGAGTGCTTGTAAGGTTCAGTGATTGTTTCAGTGTGCTTCAGTGATGTAGTAAGTGTTTTTTTCCGTCAGCTGTTGAGTGAAATGTTTCTGCCCAAGCTTTCATTTTCCACCGAGACCTTCACTTGCTGGAGACAGGCAGTGACAGGATGGGAAAAACAAAGGAGAGCAGAGCTCCCATGCAGAATCCAACTACAACCTGCACTCAAAGACCAAGTGAGGCCATACTCACTATACTCACAGAGCAGAAAGGTGCTTTGACTCCATTACCTTACAATGCCATACCCCATAGACCAGTGGTGGAAGAAGTACTTAGATCCTTTGCTCAAAGTTAATACAAAGAGCTTTAATTTTGTGTTGACAACAATGGTAGTGTTTCGTTGCACCATATTCCCTTTAGAAAACCTGTAATTTTACTGCAGCAGGGTCTGACAGTCTGCCCCATTCAGTCCTGGTTCTGGTTCTCCCATTCCACTCTCTCCTCCTGGGGACCCAGGAATATGGATGCCCTTGCCATCCAATATTGATGGGGCTACTGGTTCAGAAAGTATCGCAGATCTGTGGAGTAAACATTATAGGGATATCTTTAACAGTGTTAAGAGTGATTCATTTAATGGTGGTGTGTTTATTAAACTAAGTGTTCTACGCCATTGAGAAATTGGCAGTGAACAAAGCATGTGGCCTTGACCAAAGAACAGCAGATGCTAACTGTAGAATTCCTTGGTATGTGTTTTTCTGGATTGTTATTTCCTGGTGAACTTCCTGACTCTATGCTGACTGTTTTATTAGTGCCATTAATCAAAGATTAAACCAGTAAAATATCCAGCACAGAAAATGATAGACCAATTGCTCTGCGTACTTTCTTAGAACACGTTCTCTTGGATAGGCTTCAAGAATATATACCACTGACAATCAATGAACATAGCACAGACTCATGTATAATTGCACTGAAGGAAGTTGTTAGTAAGTATAGGAGACATAACACTACAATATTTATGTTTCCTGGATGCATCTAAAGCGTTTGACCGAATGAATCATTGTAAATTATTTGTCAAACTACAAGAGCGAGGGGTCCATATTTGACAAAGATTTTGCACCTTTGGTATTCGCATCAAACCATGCAAGATACATGGGGTAAGAGTGTATCTGCACCCTTCCTAGTAATCCGACAAGGACCTGCCTTCAGAGATTCTTGTTTGTGATGGATCCAACAGTGTTTTGATGACTTGATTTATGGCTTCATTACCACAACATTTAAGGATTTCAACAAGTAGAACAGAATGTTTTAATGATTAAACAGGGTTGGGGTAGCTGCTAATAATGTAACCTAAAGGATTTCAGCCCAACATTGACAGAAATGAATCTCGGTTCATCGGTTCTTCAGGCTGGCGCTTCCATGACATCTTCATGTGTGAGGCATATATTTTGAAAGAACGCATAGGCCAACAGAGTTTCACCTCACCTTGGAATAAGGTGGTCTGCCACCATGCCTTCATGACCCCACATGTCTTCTCAATGATATAATGAGCCTTGCCATGCTTACAGAGGGGGTTGAGAGAATTTGAAAACAGGGCAGTTTCTATAAATCCATGGAGTTAGGGTGTAGCTTGCCGATCTATCTTCTCCTGCATACTGCAATACTGTTTGTTAACAAGTGAAACTAATTCGTTTTTTACATTACACACTATATACGGTTTGTTATATCAGTGTTGACTGTTCTCTCCTCTCCCAATGCTTACACAGTAAGAACAAGCTTTTATTTGTTTCCTGAACCCTAAAAATAACCAATATTTACAAAAATACTTTGAGTATAATATTTATTTCTCCTGTCTTCTAAAATTAGTATTGTCCTCTTTTATTCCTCATTTAGTTTCCTTCCACTGTACCTACCAGTAGGAGACAGTGATTATTTTAGCGTTATATCGTGTTTCTTATTATGAAATTGCACCGTTAACAAGTTAGTTAGTTTAGTGTTTAACTGTGCTTACATATGTTTGAGGAGTACACAAATTACAACTGAGACGGATGGGAATGTCATTCCTTTTGGAGTTATTTTGTCACAAATAAAAGTATTCGCCATATGAGAAAAAATAACCTGATGATGGTGCTAGATGAAAGGTCAGAGAATCACCAAAGGTTTTACGGTTTATCCTCAAGCAGTAGCCCCTGGTAGGGTCTCCCAAGGCAAACAGGTCTCAGGGGAGAGCCCAGACTAAGAGCGGTTCAAAATAACCCCGATGAAAAGCAGCCCACGGTCTTCAGCCACCTCGCCCGGACCAGGGAAACCGGGCCACCCTTCTGGAGCCAGACCCAGGAGGGGAGCTCATCGGCGTCTGGTGCCTTCGCCCATGGGGCCCGGTCGGGCTCAGCCCGAAGAAACAACATGGAGCAGCCACCCTGTGGACCCACCACCCGCAGGGACAAGCATCGGGGTCGGGTGCAATGCAGACCGGGCAGCGGGCCGGGCCGAGGGCCTGGGCGAGCCGATCGCTAGCTGCACAGACTAGCTCTAGGGACGTGGAACGTCCCCTCGCTAGCGGGGAAAGAGCCGGAGCTGGTGCAGGAGGTAGAGCGATACCAGCTAGATATAATTGGACTCACCTCCACACACAGCACTGGTCCTGGAACCAAGCTCATGGAGAGGGGTTGGACTTTGTCCTTTTCTGGAGTTGCCCAGGGTGAGAAGCGCCGGGCGGGAGTGGGGATACTCACGAGCCCCCGGCTGAGCGCCTCTGTGTTGGAGTTCTCCCCGGAGAACGAGAGGGTCGCCTCCATGCGCATATGGATTGCGGGGAGTAAGGCTCTGACTGTTGTTTGTGCTTGTGCACCAAACAGCAATTCGGAGTATCCGGCCTTCTTGGAGTAGGTGGGAGGGGTCCTGGAAAGGACGCTGCCTGCTGACTCCATAGTTCTCCTGGGGGACTTCAACGCTCACGTGGGCAATGATGGAGAAACCTGGCGGGGGGTGATTGAGAGGAACGGCTTGCCCGATCTGAACCCGAGTGGTGTCTCGCTATTGGACTTCTGTGCTAGCCACGGTTTGGCCATAACGAACACCATGTTCGAACATAAAGTGGCTCATAAGTGTACCTGGTACCAGAACACCTTAGGCCGGCGATCTATGATCGACTTTGTAATTGTATCATCTGCTCTGCGGCCATATGTCTTGGACACTCGGGTAAAGAGTGGAGCAGAGCTGTCAACTGATCACCACCTGGTGGTGAGTTGGATCAGATGGTGGGGGAGCCGGCTGGAAAGACCTGGCAAGCCCAAACGTGTAGTGAGGGTGAATTGGGAATGTCTGGTGGAGGACCCTGTCCGGGAGGTCTTTAACTCCCACCTCCGGAAGAACTTCTCACACATCCCGAGGGAGGTTGGGGACATGGAATCCGAATGGACCATGTTCAAAGTCACTATTGTGGACGCGGCCACTAGGAGTTGTGGTTGGAAGTTCATCGGTGCCTGTCATGGCGGCAACCCGAGAACCCGGTGGTGGACACTGGAGGTGAGGGAAGCCGTCAAGCTGAAGAGGGAGGCCTTTCGGGCCTGGTTGGCTGAGGGGTCTCCTGAAGCAGTTGAGAGGTACCGGCAGGCCAGAAGGGCTGCAGCTGCGGTGGTCGCGGATGCTAAAACTCGGGCATGGGAGGAGTTCGGGGAGGCCATGGAGAAGGACTTTCAGTTGGCCTCAAGGAGGTTCTGGCAAACCATCTGACACCTCAGAAATGGAAAGCAGGGCCTACCCCAGGCTGTTCTCAGCAGGGGGGGGGGGACGCTGACCCGGACAGGGGACATCGTCGGGCGGTGGAAAGAGCAATTTGAGGAACTCCTAAGCCTGAAGACTTGGGGGGGGCAGCACCCATATACCAGGTGGAGGCCGCTAAGGTAGTGAAAAAGCTCCTTGGTGGCAAGGCACCAGGGGTGGATGAGATCCACCCTGAGATGCTGAAGGTGCTGGGCACTGTTGGGCTGTCTTGGCTGACACGCCTATTCAATGTTGCATGGGAGTCGGGATCAGTGCCCATGGACTGGCAGACCAGGGTGGTGGTTCCCATTTTCAAAAAGGGGGACAGTGGACTTGGAGAAGGCTTTCGATCGGGTCCCTCGGGGGTTCTTGTGGGGGGTGCTGCAGGAGTATGGGGTGCCGGACCCATTACAATGGGCCATCCGGTCCCTGCACGACTGCAGTAGGAGCTGTGTCCGTATTCTCTGCAATAAGTTAGACACGTTCCCGGTGGGTGTTGGCCTCCGCCAGGGCTGCCCTTTGTCACCAGTCCTGTTCATGGACAGGATATCTGGGCGCAACCGGGGGGTGGAGAACGTCAGGTTCGGGAGTCTCGGGATCGCCTCTCTGCTGTTTGCAGATGATGTGGTCCTGTTGGCCTCCTCGGATCGTGACCTCCAGCATTCACTGGGGCGGTTTGCAGGCGAGTGTGAAGCGGCGGGGATGAGAGTTAGCACCTCCAAATCTGAGCCAGGGTCTTGTTCACGAGTGAGGGTAAGATGGATCAGGAGATCGACAGGCGGATCGGTGCTGAATTGCCTGAAAAACATTGTTAAATATGGGGAGGTGGTCTTCCATGTAAAATCTATACAAAGCCAAACTAAATAATTATATTTACATATCTTCACTCGCACAATAGTAACAGCAGGAATCTAAGCTTGATTAAGTTATTATTATGAATATTACTCCATAGTAAGATTATCTAAGTACCTTCCCCAAACTCTTATTTTCATCAGACTAAGGCCAAAACAACTACAACAT